AGAGGTCAGGTGAATATGGCAATGAAGCAAAACTTTGTGATCCAAATCATTCGACTTTTGAAGCATTGGTTGTGCGATGTGTAGTTCGGAGTTGTCGTGGAGAAGAATTGGGCCCTTTCTATTGACCAACACCAGCTGCAAATGTTGCAGTTTTCGGTGGATCTCATCGATTTGTTGAGCATACTTCTCAGATGTCATGGTTTCAGTGGGATTCAGAAAGCTGTAGTGGATCAGACCAGCAGCAGACCACCAAACAGTGATCATGACCTTTTTTTGCTGCAAGTTTGGCTTTGGGAAGTGCTTTGGATCTTCTTCTCAGTCCAACCACTGAGATGATCATTGCCTGTTGTCGTATACAAGTCACTTTTTGGCCAGGCTTGGTGGCTCAGCCTGTAATCCCAGCACTTTGGGAGGCCGAGGCGAGTGGATTGCCTGAGCCCACGGGTTCGAGACCTACCTGGGCAACTTGGCAAGACCTCATCTCTACAATAAATAAAAAATAACTGGGCATCGTAGCGTGCGCCTGTAGTTCCAACTACTTGGAAGGTTGAGGCAGAAGGATCACCGGAGCCCAGCAGGTCGAGGCTGCAGTGACCGGGAGCGTGCCACTGCACTCCAGTGTGGGTGATAGAGTGAGACTCCAACTCAAAATAAGTAAATAAATAAATAAAAGCCACTTTTCATCGCCTGTCATAATCCAATCGAGAAATGGTTTGTTGTTGCATAGAATAAGAGAAGATGACACTTCAAGACGATTTTTTTTTTTTGGTCAGTGTGTGAGGCACCTGCTTATTGAGCTTTTTCACCTTCCCAATTTGCTTCAAATGCTGAACGACCATAGAACAGTCAATGTTGCCAGGCGTGGTGGCTCAAGCCTGTAATCCCAGCACTTTGCAAGGCCAAGGCGAGAGAATTGTCTGAGCCTAGAGGTTTGAGACCAGCCCAGGCACCTTGGTGAGACCCTGTCTCTTCAATAAATCAAAAAAATTAGCTGGATGTGGTAGCACATGCCTGTAGTTCCAGCTACGTGGAAGGCTGATGTGGAAGAATCGCCTGAGCCCAGCAGGTTGAGGCTACAGTGCCTGTGAGCATGCCGCTGCACTCCAACCTGTGACAGAGTGAGACTCCAACTCAAAAAAAAAAAAAAAAGAGAATGATCAATGTTGAGTTCTTTGGCAACTGCTTGTGCAGTTGTAAGAGGATCAGCTTTGATAATTGCTCTCAATTGGTCATTGTCAACTTCCGATGGCAGGCCACTATGCTCCTCACCTTCAAGGCTCTTGTCTCTTTTGCAGAATTTCTTGAACCATCACTTCATTGTACGTTCATTAGCAGTTCTTGGGTAAAATGTATTGTTGATGTTGAAGTTGATCTTTGCTGCTTTATAACCCATTTTGAACTCTGATAAGGAAATCACTCAAATTTGCTTTTTGTCAAACATCATTTCCATAGTCTAAAATAAATACAAAATAAGCAACAAGTAATAAGTCATTAGCAAAAAACATAAAGCGAGAAATGCACATTAGAATTATGTATAGCATAACCACATTTATTAAGAATGTATTCCAATATCAAATGGGAAATTTCAACTTGTAAAAACCGCAGTTACATTTGCACCAACCTAATACTTTGCATTTGAAATTTTGTATTTTATATTTTTAAATTTTAGATTCAGAGGATACAGGACTATATTTGTGACATGGACTATATTTCTTATTTTTCATGTTTTTTTAAAGCCCCTTTCAATTTTTTAATATATTTAAATTGCTTTTCAAGATAGAAGGAAGAATTAAAAGAACAAATAATGGCTTCTGAGGATAGAAACACACCCATTCACCAACCTCCCTTCTTTGTGCCTAGAGTTAGAGTCAATTTATTCTCAGTCTTGAAGTAGTGTGAGCATTTTCAGTAGTTATAGAGTTCTTTTCATGAAAAGTCAATAGATATAACTAAACATTTAAGGATGAAGGTGACCAGGCCATGATCGATACTAGTACTTGAAGTGCTTATAAAACATGCGTTGAACTTGGTTAAATTTTAGAAAATAAACTATTACTATATATAAACACATTTTCTCTCAACATTGAAAAACCTAGTCTATAATTTACCTACTTGTTAAGAATAAAAATATTGCTTAGAGGTTTATCGAGGCTTTTTTCTAAAACAGATTTTTTTTTTCTTTCTTTTTTATTTGAGTCAGAGTCTCATTCTGTTGCCCAGGCTGGAGTGCAGTGGCATGACCATGGCACACTGCAACCTTGACCTCCTGGGCTTAGGCAATCCATCTGCCTCAGCCTCCCAAGTAGCTGGGACTACAGGCAAACACCACCACACCTGACTCATTTTATTAAACAATTTTTTTTTTTTAGAGACGAGCTCTTACTACGTTGCCAAGGCTGGTCTCGAACTTCTGGGCTCAAGCAGTCCTCCCGACTTGACCTCCCAAAGTGCTAGAATTACAAGCATGAGCCACCTCTCTTGGCCTAAAAGCAGATTTAACATAGAATTATTCCCTGTTTTCCATCTGTGTTCTCTGTACTACCACCTAGTGGAATAAATGCAAATTCCGGAGAAGGAAATGAACAAAGTGAAATTTACCTCAGGAAAAACTTTCTATGATAAGTTATTGTTACTTTTTAAAGTGTATGTAGGTTGCATAAAATACATGAATTCCAAATGAAAAAAGTCCCAGCCATACTCATGTGATAACATAAAATGCCACTAGTTGGTCCACAAGTAATCTATTCTATTAAGAAACTTAGAAGGTGGATAAATTATTGCGACTATGCCAGCATATTATATATCTAAATGATGTCCCAAAACCTTTCTTAATTCCTCATTACTAGAGTTTATTAAAAATCTAAAATGTTAGGCCAGGCGTGGTGGCTCATGCTTGTAATCTCAGCACTTTGGGAGGCCGAGGCAGGAGGATTGCTTGAGCCCGTGAGTTCCAGACCAGTCTGGCCAACAAGCAAGACTTCATTTCTACAAAAACACCAAAAAATTAGCTGAGCATGGTGGCGGACACCTGTAGTTCCAGCTACTGAGAAGCTGAGGCAGAGATCAAGGTTGTGGTGAGCTGTAATTGTGCCACTGCACTCCGGTCTGGGCGATAGAAAGAGACCCTGATTCAAAAAAAAAAAAAAAAAATCGAAAATGTTAAACTTCAAAGCACCCATGAAATGAATCATTCTTAACTGATAGGTAAGTAAAAGTGCAGAGATAAGATAGTCATGTTTTACTAGAACTGGGAAGAAAGGCAGCTGTGTACATTATGCTGACTTTTTTCTCGCAAACAATGAAACCAAAAAAGGCAAATGAAACTTTATCCTTTACTGGTAGGATAATCTTTATTGGTAAGATAGGTGCTTTATCCTTTATTGGTAGGATAATCTTCCTTTAATGTTTAGTCCCTATTAAGGAACAAACATAAACAAGCCAAAACCCAAAACCTGTTGTAGCACGTTTCCCCAATGTGGTCATCCATCATCTGTCATGGTTTGCTCTGTGCCATCCAAGCTCTTTGGTCCTCAGGTTCCCATGGAATGCTAATGGAATCAGCTTCCCAATTTCTAAGGGTGGCATGAATTTCAGATGGCATCCGTGTGCATGTGCGCAAACACGTTTTTTTAATGCTCATGAGCATTTTATCTACCTGACTTTTGATGATGTGGGTGTTGAGTAGTAGACATGGGACCATGGGTGAATATGGGGAGGTATAATTGAAGTTCAGATAAAAATATCCCAAAGTTTGCTTTTAACCAGTTTCAACAGACATTACAAAGCCACAAAATCGGCTGAAATTGAATCTTTTTATCCTCATCCTGTGCATGACAGATTTGCACTCCCATTCAGACTGACCAGACTCCAGGGAAGATTGGACACAATCTTTATATCTTGAGACTCTTAACGTCATAGTCCTGTCTTGTGGTCTTACTTCCTGCAGCGCTGAATCACAGAGGCTGGCCCAGTGATCTTTTTCACCTTTATAATGTGTAGCCTTCAAAACTTTGAGTCTCTCAGTTACCTTCCTTAATGGACCTTAGTTACTTATAACTGTTCTGGTGCTGCAGGAATTTGTATGATTTTGCATTGTTGATTTCTGACTTTCCAGTGTTCATAGGAAAGGCTGCCTTCCTTCTTTGTTATTCCTGAGTCATTCATCCCCTCCCCTTTTGCAGGCATTTATCCTGTCTGGTGTCTTTCCTCTTCTAAGGCTACACTCTTGCTATCTGCTACCTGACATAGGCGGGTGTGGTAATGGACATTCCCTGCACCCACTGCTTGCTGGAGACCCTGCTATGACCTGAAGTCATCATTAGGCTAGGAAACAGAAGCTCACATATTATATTTTACCCCCAAAGACTGAATCGGTGTTTGGGTTCTTCCTTTCCTCAATTCTCAATCAATACAACCTTGAAAGGTGTTATATAGCTAGTTGTTAAAAAATGATTCTCCAAAACCCTACTAACACACAAAAAATGGACAAATTCGCTTTTTCCTCTAAAATCATAACAACTCAGAAAGCAAAGCAAAATAGAATTTATTTATTTATTTATTTGTTAATTTATTTTGAGTTGGGGTCTCACTTTATCACCCAGACTGGAGTGCAGTGGCCGCTCCCTGCCACCATAGCCTCAACCTGCTGGGCTCCGGCGATCCTTCCGCCTCAGCCTTCCAAGTAGGTGGAGCTACAGGCACGCGCTACCATGCCCGGCTAATTTTTGATTTATTGTAGAAATGAGATCTCGCCAAGTTGCCCAGGTGGGTCTCGAACCTGCGGGCTCAGGCAATCCACTCACCTCAGCCTCCCAAGGCGCGGGATTACAGGCTGAGCCCCTGAGCCCGGCGCAAAATGGAATTTAAATACTCCATTCTCGGAGCAGGCTTTGTGTAGCGCATCTACGGAAGTATTAGCTCCAGGAAACAGTCTATTCCAGACTCTAAGATTGATGTCTACTTTTTAAGTTACAGCTGTGTGTACCTCTGCTTTGTTGCAGCCTTCTCTTGGAGTCAAGAAGCCTACCAAAGCCCTGCTGTTTGTTATCTTGAGCCCAGTGGGACCTTATTTTTCAAGTGGAACCTTTAATCCAGTATCCCTGTGGGCTAATCCGAAGTATGTAAGAGCCTGGGCAGGTGGAACTGGGGACTGCAAGATGGGAGGGTAAGTAAATCTGCATCTCTATCCAAATGAGAGGCACGACCATTTAATTATTGCCATTTCACTTCAATATGAATAAATGTAATAATATGCAAACCTTAATGCTCGTTCTGTTTCATGATTAGATTTCAGTGTTTTACACGTGCTGGTTGTTGAAAGGATAGCCCGTGGCCCTTTAGAGGGAAGAAACACTGGCTATGATGCATGGGCAGGAACTAAAGTAAGCAACTAAAACAGGAATCAAATCAGTGGCTTGAATGAACTGCCCCTGGGCACTGGTCCTCTTTGGCTCAGGCTGATGGTTGGCATCAAAGAGCATCTGGTCCTGGGACCCAGGCTCTCAGTTGGCTTCAGGGAGTCCTGTCTGGGGAAGGTGCCCGCTTCACTGGAGTGCTGTCTTCATTGCTACAGATTGTAGCCACACCTGCTGCCAACTGGCTGAGGGACAGCCCTGCTTTGGCTCTGTCAGGCCGGTCTCATAGGCCATATGTAGCTGGCAGGAAATAAAAGAGTATTTGAAAAGTGTTGGACAATTTCAGGGGTGGACTTGGCCGTGAATTGGGAGTGTCCCTAAGGGTGAACAAGAATAACTGGATTAAGCGGCATAGGCTCTTCTTTTGTAAGTATCAAGTGGTGCCGTGCATCACGTACTCAGGGCAGCAGTGGTTCTGGAAGGTGACTCAGTGGCAGCCTTGTGGCCTTAGTACAACATGGAGATTCATTCGGGAAGGAGGGGGTGGGAGATGGGAGGGAGGAGGTTGAATGACATGCTGCTGAGATGCTAGAGAGACAGTGACAACTGGCTTCAACCCTTCTGTAGTCTTCCCAAATTTCCTTTTCTTTTCTCCTGCTCCTTCAACAAAAAGGAAAAAAGAATGGTTATAAAATTCATCCCTATGGACAACTTCGGCAACTGTATTCCCTCAATGGGCAGAGAAATATGAACAGGGTACGTTAAGCTGAGAAGTCTTTATTTTCCTTCTGGCTTAGAGCATGCCACCCTGTGTCCTAGGCTTATCAGGCTGAAAACTTTTGTTTACTCTCTTGCTTTCTTTCTTTACTTGTTCAGTCTTCTTCACAGAGCATGTGCCCACACACCACTGCATATCACAAAGACTGTTTTGTTAAGACTTCTCATAGGGTTCGCATTACAGTAAATTGACAATCATGATGAGAAGTAATAAGGGAAAAGTTTCTCGCTTTTAAATCTTGCTTTCTAGCTCCCCCTGCCTGTCTAGGGCAAAGATAACATGGGACACAGAAATTGTAGGGAAATCTTTATTAACTGGAATTCGAGCAGGTTGTAATTTATTGTGTAAACTATGATATGATGCAGTATTACAGAATACATGATCACTGTAGGCCAGTTAAGAATTAGGGCTTTCTGTACAAGACAGATTATGCCCTAATGAACTTCAGACTGTGTACTGCACTAATGCCAGATGGCAATAAGAGAAACTGGGGAATGGGAGGGTGGGTTGGAAAGGGATAGAATACAGGAGCTCTATAATTTTTTCTCAGTTTTTCTGTGAATCTAAAGGCACTCTAAATAATAAAGTAATTATTAAAAAATGAATTATTTAACTTATTAGGCTTAGGTTAATCGTGACCAATGGAAGTTGACTTGAAATCTCTCAAGAGAGGAGACTGGAGAAGAGAATATTGGTGCTCATAAATCAAAATTTAAAAATGGCCAGAGGGAAGGTGGTAACCAACAGGATGGACTTTTAACCTGTATGCCTGTCATTTCCAAGAGGTTCTAAAGCTCTATACTCCTATGCTTCCAATCCGGAGAAGTACAAAGGGAACAAGTGATTCTGCATTTAGTAACATCTTACTTAGCAAAGACATTTGTAGTCAACGTTATTACATCTTTTCTAAACCTAATTATGTCAACAATTACCCTCTGAACGCTTTTTAGTGCCCTTGTAGTCAATTGGTATTTTACATAGCTGTTGATTCTTTTAAGCTCAAGAACTTTCTGCTTTCTAAGTGAATCTGAGGAAGGGAGAGAAGCATTTTTTAAAAAATTCTAAGATTATTCCACTATTTTGAAGTCACTGGAGATAACGTTATCCTTTTATTTTTAAATATAATGAGAAAAGTAATGCAGTTGCTTACAGCTGAATTGCTAGCACAGTGGTCCTCGCTTTGGCTACAAACTGAGATCATCCGAGAGCATTACCAAACAGTGATGCCTGATTCCTACCTCTAGAACTTCTGGTGTATTTGGTCTGGGATGTAGACTGAGCATCAGAGTTCTTTAACATGCAGCCAAACTTGAGAAGTACTGATCAGAGCAGGGTTTTTCATCTTGGGAAGTTCTTAGTTAATTTGGAAAAAATCAGGTTGTGTCCTGTGTCTGTCTCTTTCTCTCTCTCTCCACACACACACACACACACACACACACACACACACACCCCTACACCTCTCTTAGCTTTTTTCTTTTTCCTGTACTCTAATTTTGTACTCAGGAGTGCAAGTTTCAAAGTCAGTCTCTTTCTCTCTCTCTCTACACACACACACACACACACACACACACACACACACACACACACCTACACCTCTCTTAGCTTTTTTCTTTTTCCTGTACTCTAATTTTGTACTCAGGAGTGCAAGTTTCAAAGTCAGAAAGACTTGGCTTACAAACCTAACTGGTATAATGGTGAATACATGTCATTATACATTTGTCCAAACCCATGGAAAGTACTTCAAGACTCAACCCTAATGTAAACTGTGAACTGCGAGTGATAATGATGTGTCATTGTAGGTTCATCAGTTGTAGCAAGTGTCCTCTGGTGCAGGACATTGGTAATGGGGGAGGCTATGCATGTGTGTGGGCAGGGGACATAGGGGAACTCTCTGTACCTTGTACCTGCCTCTCAGTTTTGCTGTGAACCTAAGACTGCTTTTAAAAAATTGAAGTCTGTAAAAACAAATAAACCTAATTGCCTTGGGCATATTATTTAATTGTTCTAAGTACCAGTTTTCTCATTTATAAAATCCTGGCAATTACACCTTCCTGACATGCTAATTAAAGTAACAGAAAGTGCTTAGGACAGTGCTTGGCATACAGAAAGCTCTCAGCAAATGCTGTGTGATAACCTGATGGTTAAAAGCTTCGACTTGGGAGTCAGCTATCTGAGAGACACACACATGCTATCTATGTGATCTTGTACAATTGAATCTTCCAAGTCCTCAAAAGTATAATAAAGCCAAAGGTTATCTTCTGATGATTAAATAATGTGGTTAAGTGCTTAGTGCCCTGTCTGAAAGGTACATGTTGAATATCCCTTATCTAAAATGGACAAGAAGTGTATTGGACTTTTGGGGAGATATTTCTTTTTGAGCATCTCTAATTCAAAAATCCAGAATCTGAAATGCTCCCATGAACATTTCCTTTGAGCTCCCCAGCTCAAAAAGTTTGGGATTTTGGAACATTTTGGATTTGAGATCTTCAACCTGTAGTAACCTCTCAAACAGTAGTTGATATTATGGGACTTTCTGACTTTCTTATTTCATCTTCTGGATGCTCTTTGTCTTAGAAGCAGTCAGTTGAATTTTACACTATGAAATATATTCTTTTGGAAGGATGTATTTAATATCTTCATTTGCCTAGATATTTATTCCATTTAAAACTATTCTGAAATTTTTATATGTAGACAATTTCCCTTTTGTTTCTCTTTCCTTCAAGAACATGTGTTTCTTTTCTGAATATTGGCAGCACATGTGAGGGAACCCAGCTATATTACCATGGTATCAGTTATCCTGTGGACATTAATAATACAGTTTACACTTGTGCAAGAATTTTGAGAAAATTTGTGTTGGGGGGGAAAGACCATCTATACTGTATAAGTAATATGTAAATCAATTATAATAATACATAAAACCAGTCATAAAAAACCTTTTGAGTGCATTCAAACAATTGAGATCTTTAATTCTCTTTCCTGCCCAGTGCTTTGTGATGTGAAGGAGACATGGTTTTAATCCAGTCACACTCTCAAATGTGTATTTGCCTTCGCATTTAGAAGCTTCTCGGAAAGGCTACATTTTCATACTGTAAAAATCCTTTATGTGGTTTTTTAATAGAGTATAAAGGGCATTTTGTGTATGAGAGAAATTGTGTTTTGTTTTCAGATATGGTAAAACCTCACATTTGTGTCTGTGAATGAGAGGAAATTCAAATACAATAGTTCTTTGTTTTTTCTTAACCCCCAAAATGACAAAGACCAGAAAATAGTTATTTTTTAAACATTTAATTTCATTAGGATACAAAAGGCTCATATAACCCATTTCTTAGCTATTCTTTATTTTTTCCAGACAGCCCTAGTGGTATATAAAGCAAATATTTTTATTTATATACCAGATGAATTAAACGAGGCAAAATTATGAACTGATTTGCTTAAGTTCACATATAACACATAATAGAGTTACAAGAGCTGCGCCAGGCCTGCTAACCGCAAACCTGTGGTCTTTTACTGGACTCCCCTGCAATCTGGTTTAATGTATTATTAAAAGGCATTCATAATTTAACTCAGTTATTGTCTACTTACCATCAGTTCTGAATAAAGATGACTTGATTTTTATGGTCATTAAACAAAAGCCTCCTATCTGTATACTAGACTTTTATCATCTCCAGACCGACCAAGAATGTGTCATCCGTGTTTTGAAGTGTTTGTATTGAGGGTCTTTTAATGAATCCTAACAGTACTTTAGTGTGGCTCAACTTTATCATGCTCCAATTGCAATAACCACAGTATAAGGTCTATTTTTCACAGCTTTCTAGAATATTTTAGGCATAAGTTAATATTCTTTGTTTGCAAGTCAGAAAACCTACTCAAAATGATCTTAAGCAGGAAAAGGATTGATTGGCTCATATAGGATTGATTGGCTCATATAGGATGGCAGCCTTGGACTTGCTAGGGCCTCAAATTGTTGTTTCTGGTTCCCTTGCACTTTGCCCTCTCTCTTTTTCCTTCCTCCATCTCTTGTCATAGTTTCTGGCTACTTGTTGGCCCAGGGCTCTCCTACTTTAGATGTCTTTCTTCTGTGAAGGGTGGTGACCATGGACACAGCAGACCCCAGGCTTACTTTTACCCCAGAAGGGAGAAAATACCTGTATTTCTTGTTCCATACATTAAAATGAATGAGTGAAGTAACCCAAAGAAGGACTCCTGAATAGCTTAGGTTCCATGCCCACCCTTTAATTCAGTTGCAGCAGGGCAAGATGCTATGATTGTCAATCTAAACAGAATGACTTGGCACCATAGAAAGGGCCATGTTTTTATAAGAGGGAATATAGTGGGAAGGGAAGCTGTTGTGATGAAAATGACTGATGTCCACTATTATATATGGCTCTTAACCTACACTTTTATTTAGCAACACTACAAATGGCAATCTTACCCACATATAAAGCAGATAGTTTAAGAACCCTGTGTGGTATTTTGTGGATGATTACATTAAGGCCTTGTTGTAGTTTTTAGATATTTTGATTCTGTGTATTTCTTTTTTTTTTTTTTGAGTTGGAGTCTCACTCTGTCACCTAGACTGGAGTGCAGTGGCTGCTCCCGACCACTGTAGCCCGGACCTGCTGGGCTCCGGCAATCCTTCCGCCTCAGCCTTCCAAGTAGCTGGAACTACAGGTGTGCGCTACCATGCCTGCCTGATTTTTTGATTTATTGTAGAGATGAGGTCTAGCTAAGTTGCCCAGGTGGGTCCCAAACCCCTGGGCTCATGCAATCCACTCACCTCAGCCTTCCAAAGCACAGTATTACAGGCTGGGCCACCGAGCCTGGCTGATTCTGTGTATTTCTGAGGCTATAGTTCCAGAGTGACTCTAGGGTTTATTTCCCAGTCCTGCTTGTCATATGGTCATGCTTCTTAAACTTGTTTGCCGATGTACTCTGAAAGCCAAGGAAAGTTAATTGTACAGCCAGGGGCTTAGAGAGGCAAGCGGCCATTACATTTATTTGAGAACTCTCATGTTTTATCTAAAACAGTCATCCATATTTTGTAACATACTCCATAATTTTCCCATATGCATTTAAATAAAATATTTACTAACTTAAATCACCATTCAGGAAGGTCTGTTGTGTTTTTCTTATTTTTAAATAACCCCAAATGAATAGTACAGGCTGAGATAAATGAGCTTTTGAAATACTTTTTGGACAAAATCAGGATTTTTAACATTGTTCTGCCTTTTGGGGGAATTTAGACATTGGACATTAGGTGTTCCTTGGATATACTGAAAGGTCTTAGATAAGAGAGCACAGACTTGGTGCTCTTCTACTTAAATTGCTGAAACTCGATAGACTTCTCTGAGCCTCAGTTTCTTTCTTTTTTTTTTTTTTTTTTGAGTCTCACTCTGTCACCCAGACTGGAGTGCAGTGGCTGCTCCCAGCCACCACAGCCTCGACCTGCTGGGCTCTAGCGATCCTTCCGCCTCAGCCTTCCAAGTGGCCGGAATTACAGGCATGCGCTACCACGTCCGGCTGGTTTTTTGATTTATTGTAGAGATGAGGTCTCGCTGCCCAGGCGGGTCTCGAACCCGCGGGCTCAGGCAATCCACTCACCTCAGCCTCCCAAAGGCGCGGGATTACAGGCTGAGCCACAGAGCCCAGCTGAGCCTCAGTTTCTTATTTGAACAATGGAAATAACGATAGTGCCTACCTCATAGTATTGGTGTGAGGTTTAAAAGAAATAATTCATGTAGAACTGCTTGATATGTGAAAACTACTCAATCAGTTTTAACTGTTGCCATTCACTTGGCTATTTACCTGTGTTCTCCTAGCATTACTTTTTAAGTAAGGATTCCAGGGCTTCACTGTGTTCTTTCTCAGATGAATGCAGTTAAATCATTTAGATTCTTTAATAAATTCTCCTTTAATGTTAAGCAAGAGAGTGCGTGTATGTTGTGAACATAACACGCTGAATACATCCACATCTGAATTGAAAATGTGAGCCTGTTGGCATGCAGAGGATGAAGGCATGTTCATAATCAGTATGTTTCCTCTTTCTCAAAAGGAATTATGGCTCGTCTCTTTTTGCCCAATGTGAAGCAGTGGCCGATGGGTGTCAGCAGGTTCTATGGCTCTACGGAGAGGATAATCAGATAACTGAAGTTGGAACTATGAATCTTTTTCTTTATTGGATAAATGAAGACGGAGGTAATCCACATAGATTTCAGTTCTATACTATTTGTCATTCATTTTTAGTGGGACTGGAAAGACAAGAACTGGAAACTTAGAACAAGGGAGTAAGTAGCACGATTCCAAAGGTTAAGGACTACTGTATTTTGCTGTCTATGTAGACATGTGTTTCAGTTTAAAGAAGCTATAAAGGTTTGGTTTGGTTTGTTTTTTTGGCTCTATATGTACTAATTCTCAAGATGTCAAATTAGGGTTGTAAATCACCATGATTGGTGATTATCCCTCTTACTGTCCCCTAATGTTTTTTCTATCTGGACACATTGTATTGGGAATGATCAGTTCAATGATCATTTACCGTATTCTATGTATAAAATGCTAGAATAATAAACATAGTCTATTCCTTCTACTCATAAGGAATTCAGTGTACTCTCTTGCTATAATTATTTTAACTACTGTTGCCCATCCTACATATTTTGGTTGTATATCAAAAGCCCTCCAGATTTATTCTGGAACTCATTTTGATTAAAGAACATCATTTTAATTAATTAATTAACTAATTAATTAATTTTTGAGACAAGGTCTTATTCTGTCACCCAGGCTGAAGTGCAGTGGCATGATCCTGGCTCACTATAGCCTTGACCTCCTGGGCTCACATGATCCTTCCACCTCAGCCTCCTGAATAACAGGGACTATAGGCATGTGCCACCACACAGCTATTTTTGGATTTTTTTGGAGAGATGGGATCTCACTATGTTGCCCAGGCTGGTCTTGAACTTCTGGGCTCAAGCCATTCTCCCCCCTCAGACTTCCAAAGTGCTGGGATTATAGGTGTGAGCCTCCGTGCCTAAAAAGAACATCATTTTTAAAGACAAATCACTGTACCTGGTTCATTCAAGATTATTACTGCATGACCATTATAGAAACCAGCATTTCTCTACTACCTTTGATATACTAAATGCTCATTACCTTTCTTTGCTATTATTTTTATTAGCTGGCAGAGACCATAGAGCTTCAGTGAAGTGTTGGCAAAATGTATGGTATTGAATTAAATGGCCAGTAGCAGCGGGGAAAACATATGCATTTATTTCCGTTAGAATTTTGATAGTCACACTAAATTTAGAAATTTAGACTTGTTTATACTCCTAGGTTGTGCATTTCACAGTAGTGGTATAGAGACTGGAAATACAAAATGATGTTTTCAAATGCTTATGAAACCACAGTATTAGTTTCAATTAAAAAATTTTAAATGAAATATTTATTTTAAAGCAGCTCCTGTACCCTCTGTTGCTCTTATGTTATTTGGCCACAAAAAGAGGAAAATGGTGATTCAGATGTGGCTGAATTTAGAGCAACGTACTAATTTTAGTACTAGTTGCAGAGACTAACAAGATGAGCCTTATATTTCCAGTCAGAGGTAGAATAAACAGCAGGTGTGGTAAGTACACCTTGTCCTGGGGTTGGCCATTGGTAATCCTTGGCATTAGAAAAGCCAGATACAGATCATACTCATTCTTCCACTCCTACTGTTTGTCCTTGGCGCTATTTGAAAGCAAAAATTTATACTGGAATATTTGTGATTTCTAAATTTGAGTTATTATATATGACATATAACAAAAGCTATGCTTGGAAGATGATAGCCAGTGTTGATCTCAGCACTTTTAATAATACATTGCTTTGACTCTACTTCCCACCTGCCCCTTCTCACTCCCCTCCCCCACACCCCCAAACTCTGCCAGAAAACCCACACAACCCGAAACAAAAACAGTTGCATCATTCCAAAGTGGTACCATCATTATTTTTATGGATGGGAGATGTCAGGATTTAAGCACAGTCTGAATCAGAGCTACATGATTTAACCAGAAATACCAGAAACTGTTCTGGTAAAAAATTCTTATCCAAACAATAATCACGGAACATTTCCACCATAGCTTTTAAAGGTCAAAATGGAAATGAGTGAATTTGTCTTCTGCCTCTTGCAAAATATACAAGACCTTAAGAGTTACTATTCAGATTATGGTTTCCTGAGATGATTTTAGTTTTAATGTGTTCCTTCAGTTTGGAGAGGTTCACTTAACAGATCAAATACAATTTGAAATAAGGAGAAAGGAAGTGAAATCAATGTTTGAATGGTACTATGAGAGAAGTAAACAGGATATCAGAATAACCTTGGGGCTAAAAAATAAAACATTGTAGTGACTTTGGTTAATACCATACAGCTTTAGGAAAATGCAAAGAATAATGAGTTGAAGACCAGAAAAATATTGATTTTTTCTTTTTTTTTTACAAACTTTACTGACAGGAGGTATAAGCAGAGTTCTTTCAGTAATAGCCTGCCATCTTTCTGTGAACAACCACTTGCACTGCTCCTGTTGGGGAAATGGCTGGTTCAGGAAGGTAGATAAGATAGTGGATAGTGTGTATTTAAAGCACAATGCTACTATGCACAGTCACTGTGGCACTTGACCTGTAACTCATGGGAGTTTTGTTGCCGAACATCATGGGTTCAGTCTAGGGTTCTGTTGTTTGCCCCACAGAAAAGCCAATCTCTGAGACAAGAAGTATTGACAGAGAAGAAGACTTTATTATTTACAGGTGATGTCAACTGGAGAGACAAACCTCAAACCCATTCCTCCTCCCCTATGAAAGTTAAGGGTTGACTAGGCACAGTGGCTTACGCCTATAATCCTAGCATTTTGGAGGCAGAGGCGAGAGGACTGCCTGAGTCCAAGGGTTCGAACCTGGGCAACTTGGCAAGACCACGTCTCTACAACAAATTAAAAATTTAGCCAGGTATGGTGGCACATGTCTGCAGTTCTAGCTACTTGGAAGGCTGAGGTGGAAGGATCGCCTGAGTCCAGCAGGTCAAGGCTGTGGTGGCCACGAGTGTGCGGCTGCACTCCAGCCTGGGCAACATAGTGAGACTCTGACTCAAAAAGTAAACAAATAAATAAACAAGTTAAGGGTTTATATTGCTGGGAAGGAAGAAAGGAGGGACAAGGAAGAGGAGCTAATCAACAGGTGGTTGAATGGAGGGCATCTAGCATCTCATTGTAACCATTACCTGCAAGAAAACAGGAATGGGGGGTAAGGAAGAAGAGCTCATCAATAGGCAGTGGGTGCGTTTTCTTATACAAATGTAAATCTCCTAAGCTTCAGTGCTATGGGTGTTTGGCTTGTTGGACAATTAGGCCAGTTTCATTTTGATTTCAGTGAGAACACCTGTGGTGGTAAGCTCACACAGCCTCCATTCTCTTTTTCATTCTGTCGATGAGTAATTTAGTTTATAACCCATACACTTGCTGTTTACCATTTGAGTGGCTCAGCCTGTAATCCCGTGCCTTGGGAGGCTGAGGTGAGTGAATTGCCTGAGCCCGCGCGTTCGAGACCCGCCTGGGCAACTTGGTGAGACCTTATCTCTACAATCAATCAAAAAATTAGCTGGGCGTGGTAGCACGCGCCTGTAGTTCCAGCTACTTGGAAGGCTGAGGAGGAAGGATCGCCAGAGCCCAGCAAGTCGAGGCTGCGGTGGCCAGGAGCGGCCACTGCACTCCAGTCTGGGTGACAGAGTGAGACTCCAACTCAAAAAAAAAAGAATTGTATTGTGTCCTGGACACTGGAGAAACCTTGAAAAAATAAGACCCAGTCCTTGTGGTTGAGTTCACAGTCAGTTTGGGCAAATGACTGGCAGTGAATACTGACATAACTCAGTCTACCGGGCCCCAGGAGCCTTCTCAGACACATCAGACATTTACACTGACTCTACTTGGAGCACTCTTCTCAGATGTCTGCACAATTTCCTTTCTACATCCTTCAAGGTTTTGCTCGCAAATGCCATTCTCAGTATGGCTTGCCTTGAGCTCCTGTTCAAAATTTAAAGTCTCTTCCTCGTTACTTCCCACCACTCGCCATTGTCCTTCCTTCCTTTTTGTTTTTCCTCCATTGTCTAGCATACTATTAACACAATAATTGCTTACCTCTGCCTATTAGAAAGTAAGCAGGGAGTTATATCAGTTTTGTTCGCTGCTGTGTTCATAGAGCTTGAAACAGTAAACAGCACTCAATATGTATTTGCAGAATAAATGGATAATTGTGCTGGTGATGTTTAGAGAACTTACACAAACCTACATTCCTGGTTTCCATTAGTCCTTGATTTTAGGAAGTCACAGATGAATCCTGCTGTTATTTCTTCTAAATTCCTCATCCCCTAAAAATGATTTCTTTGTCAAAAACAAGCTACATTTGTAGGTTCTGTTTTCCTCACATTGGGCAATCTGGAGTTAGTTCTGGCTCTTGTAAGCATGTTTGTGGTTGCAGAGGAAAATGAATATTTCTCACCCAAATGTTGTCATGTCATCATCTCTGTCTGGCAACCAGAGAAGCAGATGTTCTGTTCATTGACCTCAGGCTAGTGGTTACAGTTCTGGGTGTTAAATATATTTCACAAAACAGCATTTGCACATGCAGGGCTGCTGTTTTCATTTAAGTTGATGCAGTCTCAGAGCTCAGCAAGCTTTAAGAAAGGTCTGGTTTGGGGGCACTAGAAGTATGTGTGTGCGAACATATATATTATACACACAAATAGATCCATACATTTATGTATCTAGTTAGCTAGCTATTGCAAAACACATGTTTATTTTGAGATCATCAACACTTCTAAACACGACAAAAAGTAGCCCTAAGAACATTGCCAAGAACAAATTTTCCTCTTTCCAGAAAGCAATTTTCAGCAGATGATTTTCAGACACAATTTTAAAAAAACCATACTGCTGTATCATAGCAAAGAAAATGTATTCATTTATTTTTTATTCAAAAACATTTATTACATACCACTTTGGGCCAGGCATGATGCCCAGTTTTGGGGATACAAAAATGAATATGGAGTTTTGGTTTTCCAGATAGAGCATGGTTGTTGGGCATGTCTGATGCAACCACAGTGAGCAGGTTAACCTAGAACCACTTTGTGCTGAAGGAAAGGGTGGTAGCTTCAGTGTCAGATTCTTTGTGCCAGAGACTGGAAGGAAAGGGAGGTTTTGGGCGTAAATATTGCAAGGAGAGCTGTGATGTGGCACCCCCAAAGCCGAGAGGACTTGATTTTAAGATTCTTTACCTAATCCAAAGAAGTCACCCAGAGGTCCAGCAGGAAAAGATTTTAGTTTATTAGAGTTTACAGGAGGCACTGATGGCAGTGGGTCAGTGAGGAAAGGGTCTGCCCATGAGGCCTGGATGGTGGTGGGTTGGTGCAGAAAGAAATCATGCTTTGGGGTAGTACAGCAAACGGTTTTATGGGCTAGCAAGTCAATTAGTCAAATTCCTATTCTATGTTTACAGTGACATTGATTGCATGTGATGACCACATTACTTTCAACTTTGCTTGGTCACCTGCACTCCTTGACTCTTTATTGGGAATATGCATGGTCTTCAGAGACCAGTGTTGGCCAGAGGCTGCTCCCTGAAGGAAGGTCAGAAAGAAGCCAGTTAAAGGGGAGAAGAGGCAATGTCTGGACATTGTACAGTTGATGGAACACATGTGACATAGATGGATCATCATGCCAACCCTCACAGTGGTTGGGGTGTCCATGGTCATCTCACAGTAGACCAGTAGGTCAGCCTTGGAGTTTTGTTTTTTGGGTGTCTTTTTTTTTTCTTTTTTAGCCATATAAATACTTGAATTCACACTGAGTCTATGATATTTGAATCTCAAAGGGCGAAGGCAGCATCTCTATACTTAGTGTTGATACTCTATCAGGTTTGCAAATCACTAATGATAGACTTCTCAAAGGGCAGCATGGAGGCAGTGACCAGCCCAGAGCAGGTACACACATACTTCCTAGGGGTTCCTTTGTAGTATTTTTAGTAAGTTTGGTAATGGTTATTGTTCCTTAGTAAGATTCTATCTTCATTATTCTAATTACTAACCAGCTTTTATCTGCTAAGGGAAATTTTTTTTTTTTTGAGTTGGAGTATCACTCTGTTGCCCAGACTGAAGTGCAGTGGCATGCTCCCAGCCACTGCAGCATCGACCTGCTGGGCTCCGGCGATCCTTCTGCCTCAGCTTTCCAAGTAGCCGGAACTACAGGTGTGTACTACCATGCCCGGCTAATTTTTGATTTATTGTAGAGAAAGTTCTCGCCAAGTTGCCTGGGTGGGTCTTGAACCCATGTGCTCAGGCAATCCACTTGCCTCAGCCTCCCAATGTGCTGGGATTATAGGCTGAGCCACCGAGCCCAACCTGCTAAGGGAAATTTTGACTTTAGGATGTTCCTCCTTGTGGAGAAAAAGGAACACTTCTACACTGCTGGTGAGAATGCAAACTAGTGCAACCTCTTTAGAAGACAGTGTGACAATTTCTGAAAGAACTAGAAATTGACCTTCCACATGACCCAGTAATTCCCCTATTGGGAATATACCCAGAGGAACTCAAATCATTCTACAAAAAAGATACCTGCACATGTATGTTTGTTGCAGCTCTATTCACAATAGTAAAAACATGGAACCAGCCATGTTGCCCATAGAAGCGGGACTGGATAAGAAAATGTGATACATATACACAATGGAATATTATGCAGCCATAAAGAAGGATAAATAAATGGACTTCACAGCAACTTGGATGGATTTGGAGTCAATCATACTCAGTGATCTATCACAGAAACAAAGAACAGAGTAACGTATGTTCTCACTCATAAGCGGACCTTGAACAATTATCATAATACTATAAGTAAGGGACTGGCAGTAGTGGGAAACTGTCAGGGGAGGGGGAATGGGATTGGCAGTTGAGGGAAACTGCTAGGGGAGGACGGGGCATACCTCATCAACAAGGGTACCCGCATAATCAATGTTTGTATACCTAACCCTGAATTGTACCCCACATCTTTATAATAATAATAAAAAAAGAATGTTCCTCTTGCCTGGATTAAAAAAATGTGGTACATATACATGATGGAATATTACACAACCATAAAGAAGGACAAAATCATAAACTTCACAGCAACCTAGATGGACTTGGAGTCTATAATACTGAGTGATGTATCACAGAAACAAAAAACTGAGTATCACATGTTCTCACTCATAAGTGGACCTTGAACAATTATTGTAATACTATTAGAAAAGGATTGGCAGTAGCAGGAAACTGCCAGGTATGGGGGGTAGGGGAGGCGTGATTGGCAGTAGTGGGAATCTGCCAAGAAAGGGGGAGCACACCTCATCAACAAGGGCACCTATATAATGAACATTTGTATGCCTAACCCTGAATTGTGCCCCACACCTTTAAGATTCAAAAAAGAATATTTCTCTGAAGTATTCTATAACTCTTACTGTTTGTCAGTGGGAAACCATCTCATTATTTTACTGATTAAGGATAAATTAAAGATGATTAGATGAGTAACTTTATTTTCTTTTTATTGAAATGTTAATTATTATTTTTTGAGTCACAGCCTCACTCTGTTGTCCAGGCCGGAGTGCAGTGGCATGATCATGGCTCACAACAACTTCAAACTCTTGGCCTCAGGCAATCTTCCCAAGTAGTGGGACTACAGGTACATGCCACTATGTCCACCTAATTTTTTTTTTTTTTTGAGTCAGAGTCTCCCTTTTCACTCAGGCTGGAGTGTAGTGGCACACTCACGACCACTGCAGCCTCGACCTGCTGGGCTTAGGTGATCTTTCTGCCTCAGCCTTCTAAGTAGCTGGAACTACAGGCATGTGTCATCATGTCTAGCTGATTTATTTTATTTATTGCAGAGGTAAGGTCACACCAGCCCAGGCTGGTCTCAAACCCCTGGATGCAGGCAATCCTCTTGTCTCCGCCTCCCATAGTGCTAGGATTATAGGCGTGAGCCACCGTGCCTGGCCTCACCTAATTTTTAAAAGTTTTTTTTGTAGAGACTGAGTCTTGCTATGTTGCCCATGTTGGTCTCGAACTCCTGGCCTCAAATAATCCTCCCAAAGTGCTGGTATTATAGGCGTGAGTCACAGCACCTGGCTTTTTCTTTTATTTAAAAAAAAGAAAGATCTACCTGAAGTATGAATTGTTTTGGGAGATTTGGGGTATTTGACAATGTAGAAGAGTAACATTATCTTTATGTTTATTACTAGCAAAGTTGTGGGAAACAGTTTTTAACAGTTGCTGTTGATATAAGGCATGCCTGATAAAGCTTGAAAATATTCCATACTCTAATTGACAGAGGAAGAACTGGCAACTCCTCCGCTAGATGGCATCATTCTTCCAGGAGTGACACGGCAGTGCATTCTGGACCTGGCACACAAGTGGGTGGGTACCTTTAACATGAACAACTTTTACAGGCCTGAAAGATAAAGTAATCAAAATAAGCTCACTCTAATGTTGAAATAATATCCTGTGGTTCCAACCAATGTTATCTAATCTTTAAATTCTAACTTGAGTAGAAAGAACTCTTCTAGAAGTACATCTTGGCAAGACTAACAAGTAAGTATCGTCTATAGGGAGGGCAGAGAGAAACCAGTTTAGCAGGATGTTCTAGTGAAGAAGTATTCTAGTACTAATCCCAATCTACCAGGCATCTCCTGCCATCTTACCTGATTCATACTTGGTGTACTTCCATCCAACCAGTCCCTAACTTTTCAAGTCTAAGTGTATTGTTTCTAAATGGTAACGATACATACTTCTTCCTTTCCTCTATTTATTCCAGCGTAACCATGCTTGTCATGGAAATTAAAGAATTTCACTAACATAAATGTTTACTAACAAAATATTATTGGTTTGGCTACCTTTTTTCTCCCTCCATCCTGCCTCTTGTTCTCCAAAATTCATATATATGCTTATTTAAAAAACAGAACATACAAGCAAATATAGCATTGTCTTCAGAAGACTTTCAAACCCATGTGACGCAGACAAGCATATTAAACTATTTAGTATTGGACGTGACATAACATATTCAAGATGAATATTGAATGAGTTGTCTGGCAGAGGTTCTTGGATGGAACTTTTGACCCATGTGTTAAAATGGTCTCCAAAGAACACGAAAAGGCTTTGAGCATACTGTGGTCAAACAGTACTAATGGGACTAATGTTTAGAAACACACACATCATCTAGGAGAGCACTAGTACAATTTCCCTGGAACATGCTTTGAAAATAGAGGAAATGTGCTATAAATAATTCTACAAAACCCTGAAGTAGACAAGACCCAACTGCCACATGCTGGCTGGCACATTGGGCATGACATTTACAAACTGTTGGTATAATTTCAAACAGCTTGCCCTGTCCTAAATATGTTTGCAGTTGGAAAGATATATTTTTGAAGCTCAGTAATTTTTGTTTTATTAAAGAAAAAAAAAATCAACCAAGTACAGAAGGTTTGATGACAAGTTGCAAGTGGAAATGCCTTCCCACACTAATGATCTGCTAGCATGAAAAATAGGTTATTACAGAGGAAGCTTTTTCTTGACTCCTTAGCTGTAATTTATTTTAAAAGCTATTTTAAAACATGAGACATAAAATGCCAAGAGGCATGTGGGGTTTGGTGGGGGAATTGCCAGACAGGGGAAATTGTCCAAAGATAAGTAAGTAAGGGTGAGCAAAGTAAAAACAATTCTGTTTATTTACAAGAGAGGTTTTTTCTCTCTTTTTTTCCCCCCTTTTCCAGGACACAGAACTCAGCTTGTTTTTAATTAACTTGGCTGATTTTCTGGAATTTATTTATTTACCTTTGAACAACATAATTGCAGTTACAAACTGAGAGAAATTGAAACTTACAAAGGGCCATATTTCTATTGCAAACATAGTTTCCTAACCTTCCAAATCTACTTATAGCCTGTTGGAGTCTCATTCTGTCGCCCAGACTAGAGTGCAGTGGCCGCTCCTGGCCACCGCAGTCTCGACCTGCTGGGCTCAGGCGATCCTTCCGCTTTAGCTTTCCAAGTAGCTGGAGCTACAGGCGCGCGCTACCACGCCTGGCTAATTTTTTGATTTATTGTAGAGATGAGGTCTCACCAAGTTGCCCGGGCGGGTCTCGAACCAGCGAGCTCAGGCAATCCACTCACCTCAGCCTCCCAAGGCGCAGGATTACAGGATGAGCCATCGAAACTGGCTTGATTATTTTTATCTATTGTGGGTCTGTAGGTTGTTTTTTTTTTTTTTTTGAGTTGGAGTCTCACTGTCGCCCAGACTGGAGTGCAGTGGCCACTCCTGGCCACCGCAGCCTCGACCTGCTGGGCTCCAGTGATCCTTCTGCCTCAGTCTTCCAGGTAGCCGGAATTACAGGCGCGCGCTCCCACGCCCGGCTAATTTTTTGATTTATTGTAGAGATGAGGTCTCACTGCCCAGGCGGGTCTCGAACCCGTGGGCTCAGGCAATCCACTCACCTCAGCCTCCCAAAGGTGCGGGATTATAGGCTGAGCCACCGAGCCCGGCTGGGTCTGTAGATTTTTAAAAATACTCTCATCTTAGTTTTTTAAAACTCATCTATTCTTTTTTGTCCTTATTCCAATAACTTATTGACAAATTTCAAACTTTAACCACTAAGATAAAAGAATGAGAAATAAACAGATCAGAGAATGAGTATTAAACGGATAAGACAGATTAGGATTTTTTGTTTCCATTTTCTGTTCTTGAGCAAAGAAGATATTCAAACAGTTTGGCAGAAATTGATGAGGTTATACCACTAACTCCACAATGAAATTCAACTGAATAAGATACTAAATGAAGGAAGAGGAATATCACTGTAAAGTCTACTATCAGTGAATTTAGGAAGAAAAATACATATAATACAATTTCTCGGAGTCCAAAGATATATTCAATTTTTTAAAATATTTTAGATATTTAAACTCTGTCTGTGTTTTTTATTCCATAAAAATTACAGAAGGAGCCAGTTAAATCAGACCTGGGTTTAAATCTAGTTTCTGCCATTTACTCATTATGTGCCCTTGGGGATACCCCTCAACCTTCTTGAACCTTAGTTTCCTTATCTGCAAAACAAGGATACCTTCCATTAGAATTACAGAACTTGACATGGTGATATGGGACGGATAAATGGTAGTTATAATTATTAATATTATATAATATATCATTCTCCTTTATGGAAAAATGGGGTTTAAGACACGGTTGACATAGAATATGCATCAGTTAGCATTTGACATGTATCAGTTTGTGAGACTTTGTTCATGACAAGTAAAAGGCAAGAAGCAGCATGTATTTTGTGGGGATAATCTTATATTGGATGTTCTGGTAATCTCTTATTTATTTATTTCTTTTGAGTTGGAGTCTCACTCTGTTGCCCAGGCTGGAGTACCATGGCACACTTACGGTCGACCTGCTGGGCTCTGGCGATCCTTCCACCTTAGCCTTTCAAGTAGCTGGAACTATATATGCGCACGCTACCACGCCCGGCTAATTTTTAATTTTATTTTAGAGACGAGGTCTCGCCAAATTGCCTGGGCTGGTCTTGAACCTGCGGTCTCAGGCAATCTACTCGCCTCAGCCTCCCAAAGTGCTGGCATTACAGGCTGAGCCACCGAACCCAGCCATATTCTGGTTATCTCATTTGTAAATGATGTGACCTTGAAGTAGGTTGCTTAACATCTCAGCGTGTTCACCAGTAGGATGGTGTGTACTTTCCAGCTCTCCCTGGAAGGGTGATTATGACATTATCTGAGTTCAATCAGAATGGAAAGTAGAACAAGTATTGCAGTTGTTTTGCATGCCCTTTCCTTTAAAACATATTGTTTTTATTTTTTATATTCCAAACAGGGTGAATTTAAGGTATCAGAGAGATACCTCACCATGCATGATTTGACAACTGCTGTGAAGGGAAACAGAGTGAGGGAGATGTTTGGCTCTGGCACAGCCTGCGTTGTCTGCCCAGTGTCTGATATACTGTACAAGGGCGAGGTAAGACGAGGATTTCCTCACTTTCTGTCACTTCCAGACATTTGCCTGTAATTTAATTAATTATTAAGTGTGTGAATAAAATTTTAATTGGACCCAGGATGCAAAGGTTTTTTTGGTTTTTTTTGTTTGTTTTTTTTTGAGTTGGAGTCTCACTCTGTTGCCCAGACTGGAGTGCAGCGGCTGCTCCCGGCCACCGCAGCCTCGACCTGCTGGGCTCCAGCGATCCTTCCACCTCAGCCTTCCGAGTAGCCGGAATTACAGGCATGCGCTACCACACCTGGCTGATTTTTTGGTTTACTGTAGAGATGAGGTCTCACCAAGTTGCCCAGGCGGGTCTCGAACCCACGGGCTCAGGCAATCCACTCACCTCTGCCTCCCAAGGCGCGGGATTACAGGCTGAGCCACCGAGCCCGGCTTGTTTTTTTTTCTTTTTAAGAGACAGTCTCGTCACCCAGGTTGGAGTGCAGTGGCATGATCATAGCTCACTGCAGTCTTGAACTCCTGGGCTCAAGTGATCCTCCCACCTCAGCCTCCTGAGTACTTGGGACTACAGGCACACATCACCGTGTTCAGCAATTTTTTTTTTAACTTGGCGTTACATTAACTGGGACAGTTTGTTCAGACGAATCTATATCACTACCCTCTTTCCAGAGATTTCACATAAGCTCAAACATGGTGGGAAATCAATTTTGTCTTTGGACAGGTGTCACATCTGCTTTATCTCAGTACAGGTATTAGAGCCATGCTAATAGCCTGTTACTCTTTTTCTATCTACAGCTCACTAAGAAAGATTCTACATGTAGTTAGATTGCAGCTTCTGATTTCTGAATGTAGAAATGGCACATAGCTATGGAAAATGCATTTGTATGATCAACTTCTACATTACTGTTACTATTGTTATTTTTATTAATAAGTAGAGTACTTTACAAAAATTTTTCACTGGGCAAACTGATGCTTTTATTAAAATCTTACAAAAAGAATTGGTATATTTGATTGGAAGAAATATCCTTAGTAAATTAGTCCAATTTTATTCTTATTTATCTATTTTTATTTTTCTTTCAAGTCTGATTTTATATGCGCTGTGCTTCCATTTTCTTGTAAATTTTCTTGCTTTCCTTTTTATAACAAATATTCGATATTTATGATTAACTTCAGCATGTGACTTTTTAACTTACAGGCAAGTGGGCATTATTCTTATAATGTGAATTGACTTAAATTACTCATATTATAATTGATCCTTGAACAACACATGGCTAGGGGCACATCCGATCCCCCATACAGTTAAAGAATCCATATACAACTTTTAACTCCCCCAAAATTTAACTGCTCGCAGGCTACTGTTGACCAGAAGATTTACCAATAATATAAACAGCACATATTTTTTGTGTTGAATATATTATCTACTGTATTCTTACAATAAAGTAAGCTAGAGAAAAGAAAATGCTATTAAGAAAATCTCAAGGAAAAGAACATAAATTTGCTATTCTTTAAGTGAAAGTGGTCATCATAAAGGTCTTCATCCTCATTGCCTTTGCATTGAATAGACTCAGGAAGAGAAGTGCTTGGTCTTTCTGTCTCTGGGGTGGCAGAGGCGGAAGAAAATCTGAGTATAAGGGGCCCACACTGTTCAAACCCATGATGTTCAGATGTAAATACAAATTCTACTAGTTTTGAAGTTTTATTTTACAATTATTTTTCTTCAGCTGATCTGACTTTAATGGTGACTGCCTCACTGGCTAAGGTTTTACTATTTGCTTTTAAGGGATTGCTCTTAACATACTTTCATCTGCAGATTGATTGATTTATAAGAGAAGAATTATCCTGTTTTATAGCAATACTTGCACTGATTATAAAGCTACTATTTAGTATTTTATTATAGTATACTATTTAGTATTTTATTATGGTAATATTATGGTTATACTATCAATTCACTTTATGAACTGAAGTTGTCATTAGGTCACATTTCATTTTTGTGGGTTTTTTTGGTTTTCTTTTTTTTTTGAGTCGGAATCTCACTCTCTCACCCAGACTAGAGTGCAGTGGCACACTGACGGCCACCACAGTCTTGACCTGCTGGGCTCAGGCAAGCCTTCTGCTTCAGCCTTCTAAGTAGCTGGAACTACAGGCATGAACCACCATTCCCAGCTAATTTTTATATGTATTGTAGAGATGAGGTTTTGCCATGTTGCCCAGGCTGGTCTCGAACCCATGGATTCAGGCAATCCTCTGGCCTCTGTCTCCCAAGTGCTGGGATTACAGGTGTGAGCCACTGCACTCTGGCTAGGTTTAGCATATTTTTAATGATCCTGTTTTAAGGGGCATTTATAGCTAAAAAGTACATCTAATTATCCTATTGTGCTAACAGACAAGATAGGAAAAGTGTTTGAGAGCACACACTATCTACTAAAATCAAACTGTCAAAGCCTACAAGCTGGCAGTACATGCGTAGGCGTGACTCAGATACAGATTAGGCCATGACAGCTCTCAGGCATGGATTGAATCATGTTGTCCAGTATTGTGGAGGTGTGACCCTTGGAAGTTTAGCTTGAACTAGTGATAGATATAGAAGCTGCTTTTGTGAAGGCATAGTCTTGCTATAACTTATGCTCCTGAAATAACTTGCACTAAATTATGGTAAATATCTTTGAGTTCTCGTTCACTACCAGAAGGTTAGATGTAGAATCTTGCAAGAGATAGGATTCTTTAAGTTTAACCACTATTTTAGGTTCCCTTAGCTTCTTGTTTCCTCAGCCTGAAGACTAGCCTATAAACCAGTTGTGCCCTAAAATCAATTGACAGGCAGTGAACACCTTATCATTGGCTAGTTAGTTTTTAATTCAAATTCAGACCAGAAAAGAGTCTTGGACATAAGGAACTAGCATGCATAATCATTAGGCTATAGTGCTATTCTTTATTTGCCTTAATATAATGGAACTGCTACATGTCTTGCCTGTTATCACCATCTACGTGGTCATCCTCAATTTGTCTCACTTCTCTTTGTTTTGTAGCCAATACACATTCCAACTATGGAGAATGGTCCAAAGCTTGCAAGTCGTATCTTGGGCAAATTGACTGATATCCAGGTAAGGGCTTCTTTCTTTTTAAGATGTCACCTTATTTCAGTCAGAGCTTACAACCAAATCATATTTCAGTGGAGGGAAGTGAGTAAACATTGCAATTTGAGATCAGTATGTTACATTTAAGGAAGATACTCCCAATAGTATCCCAGTAATATCCCAACAGCATGAACAAAGCCAAAGTGAGAAAAAATATCATGAGAGAGAGAAATATTATCAGAGACTCCAAATTACTTAGCATTTAAATAAACAAATATAAATTTTGATAACATTAAAATCTCATTAAAAAGTGTAACATACTTTTGTAAAAAAAAAATTGAAAGTAGAAGAAACCATAGGAAGAAAATTTTCTTACTGTAATTCCAACACTGAGATATAACCACAATTAATTTTTAGCGTCCTTTTTTTTTTTTTTGAGTTGGAGTCTCACTCTGTCTCCCAGACTGGAGTGCAGTGGCCGCTCCCGGCCACTGCAGCCTCAACCTGCTGGACTCCGGTGATCCTTCCGCCTCAGCCTTCCGAGTAGCCAGAATTATAGGCACGCACAACCACGCCCGGCTGATTTTTTTATTTATTGTAGAGATGAGGTCTTACCAAGTTGCCCAGGTGGGTCTCGAACCCACAGGCTCAGGCAATCCACTCACCTCAGCCTCCCAAAGCGCGGGATTACAGGCTTAGCCACTGAACCCAGCTAATTTTTAATGTCTTAACCTTCAGTATTCTGTAGCGGTTGCATGCTTTTAAATAGTTATTTTTTCTAACAAAATGGAGTCGTTATACCTACTTTTGTACATACTTTTTTCACTTAGTAAACCCTTTCCTTTTTCATGTCAATAAGTAGTTTTCTCAATACTATTTATGAGGTTTAAATGAATTCCATTATTTTCATCTACTATAATTTTAAAAAGAAATTGTACTATTGACCATTTATGTTGCTGACAATTTTTTCTCTATTGTGAACAATACATCCTTGATTATTTCCTGAAGATAAATCTCCGGAATTGCAATTGTTGGGTTCAAGGGTGTGCACACCTATTTTTTCATACTGCTAACTTTGTTTTGCCTATTTTTCTTGAGCAACAACCTACTGTAATGTTTCATCAGGTGGGTAAGCAGATATATCAAATATCAGATGACACTGTGTCACCTAGAAAAAAGATTGCTCTTTAAGTTACAAACATTTCACAAGTTATTGGAAGATTTTCTTGAACCTAGATGCCATCATTGCCAGTTAGTAAAAATATCCAAGGGGGTCTCAGCCGCATATTGAAAAATAAGTATGATTGCTTGGGTGACATCAGACAGTATTGAGTCATAAGTGAAGCAAAATTTAAAATTGGTTAGGAAAGCAGCAAGCAGGCCTCTGGAGAGCAATTATGTTCGTCGGGTAGTGATAAAAATAGAATTTTTAAAAAGACTTATTCAGCAACTTTTATGAAAAATTAGTAGTATTAAAAAGAAAGAATGATTGTAGTTATTGAATCAGTGAGCTGGCATACTTCCACGCTTCAGCAAAGGTTTTCTATAAGAAAGTTTTGTAAGTGTCATAGAGTAATATCTTAATTTTGGAAGAAATAAATTAAGTCCAAATTCTTTTCTACCTTTGTACACAGAAACAATTACAAGTAATTTGAGGGATAACTAATAAAAATTTCTGCATGGGTGGGTCAGGCATTTTCATTTTTTTCAGAATTGTCTGAACAAGTCTGCAAATAATACATTATTATAGTTTTGCTCAAATACAGAACATAAATATAGCCAAAAAATACATAATTGGCTAGATTATGAAAGTCTTTATCTGAAACAGGAGTTTAGAGACTTTTAAGATTTTTCTTCACATGTTATCATAGTGATAAGGAAGAAGGGATCACTTTGGAATGTTTTCTTGAACAAGTTGTTCATAATTTTCTTGAAAAATTGTGCATTTTGTAGCAGTTAATGTACAAAACAAAGTTTCAGGGTTACTTCTTAGAGATTATATGAAATAAGAAAATTTAAACTTATGTGATTTGGTTGTAAAGGATTAACAGGAAAAGTAGTGACTAGGCTGAGAGAAAAATTGAACTCTTACATTGGAATTGGAAGAAAAATCTAAGAGGTGTTCAGCAGATAATAATGAAGTTTTGGCTAAGGAAGAAAATGCTAGGCAAAAACAGGACTGTGACTCATTTAAATTGAGATGGTGATAAAGTATATGCATTTGAACCTAAAATATGAGTAAAAGAGAATCCCAAACACATAATTTGGGGGAAAGATGGGAGACCATTACCAAAGTTCTCAGAAAGAACTTTTTTTTTTTTTTGAGTTGGAGTCTCACTGTGTTGCCCAGACTGGAGTGCAGTGGCACACTCCCAGGCACCGCAGTCTCAACCTGCTGGGCTCCAGCTATCCTTCCCTTTCAGCCTTCCAAGCAGCTGGAACTAGAGTCGCATGCTACCACACCCGGCTAATTTTTTATTTATTGTAGAGATGAGGTCTCGCCAAGTTGCCCGGGTAGGTCTCGAACCCGCGGACTCAGACAATCCACTCGCCTCCCAAAGTGCTGGGATTATAGGCTGAGCCACTGAACCCGAAAGAAAGAACAATCCTAAAAGTAAGATTATAGAAACCAAAAGAATGTTCGCGACGAAAGTGAATGTTCTCGATGCATTCATACAACAAATGTATGTATTGAGCACAAACAGTACTCAGAAGCCATGTCTGGTGCCGGTGAGATAGTAGTGAAAAAGGGGGCAAAAAAACTAAAGAAGGCGAAGCACCCCACTATAAAAGGACAAAACAGATATGCAGTGTAAATGTGAGGCCATGTAGAAAAGTTTAAAAGGAAAAGATATATGTGAAGCAGAGTATGAGAATAAGATATAACCTTTTCCTCTAACTTCATATTTTCTCTATATAACTCAATGCTTGTGGCTAAGAAGAAATGAATAATATCTCTTTTTACCCTAGATAATAAAGTATAGTGGTCACTGACACTAAAACTTACTGATGTATTCAGAACTCCATACTAAACAAAGAAACAAAGGAATACCATTACAGGACAAAGAGAAAATATAGGGATTCTAAACCACAAGCTAGAAGCATCAAATTTGCTACAAACTGTTAAATAACAAAGGACCCTTCACTCAGAACCCAAGAGTGCATCTCCATTATTCTGTGCCTATGTGCACGGAACCTCAAGTCTCAAAATTATTCTCTTATAAGATGGCAAATTGGTGCTGTCAGCCAGCTACTGGGTTGTCTGTTTCTCTCCAAGAAAAATAAGTAATTATTGAGGAAAAAGCAAAGAATCGCACCATGATTTACATTTGATTTCTTTTGACATGACATGGAAACACGGATGTTTCCTATGGAGTGCTCTGGTAAATTGAAGAAGGGAACAAAAACCACCAGAGAAACTTTCAAGATTCTTGCCAGTATGGCCCAGGGGGAACATTCCTTCTGAACCACAGATTTGACTTTCATTTTAACTTCTGTACTTCTGTATGTGAGTAAGAATCTCTGAGGTTAAGTATTCATCCCATTTAGCTAATTATCCACATGACTCCCCGGGTCTTAGATTGCTTTGCAAATAACTCCTAGGAGGGGAACATTTCAAATGAAAGTTTATTTTTTTCCTTTTTCTTTTTTCTTTAAGCAACAAAGAATAGTCTCTGTTTATATTTAACCAAACTTAAACTCGAAGAACATTAGTCATGTTTTCTGTTTCTTTTCGCTTCTATTTACTCTTTACTCACCATCATAGTCACCATCAGACTCACCTTTCCCTGCCATTTGGGGTCCTCTATGTTCTCCAAATGAACTCATCTCTCTGATGCCTCCTACCTTTGCTGTACCCTCTGCGGTTTGCTCACCTGAAAAGGACTTGGCTATACTTCGTGACTCATCTCCATCAGGAATATTTTCAGTCTCTCATGAGCAGTATCTCTCCCCCCAGTCCAAATATACATTCACCCACTTGAACGCTGCTGCTTTCTCCAGTTTCATAGTGCCAGGGAAGATCCCATAAGGCTTTGAAATTACATTATAATTAGTCACGCACTCGTCTCTCTTCTGGGGCTGTTTAAATGTTGGAACTGCTCTTTCTCTTTTTATACCCCCACTATTTAGCACAGGGCCTTGGGCATAGTACATACACAGTAATGTTTCTTGAATGATTGAATAAAGGAGTGAGTGGGGTAAGTGAAACCCCAAACAAGTACTAAAGAGCAAAAAACATATTGCTCTTGTACACTAGCATATTCCAAGAAGAAATGAGAGGAAAGTCTCGAATAATGTCAAGTTATTTTTCAGAGAACCTGATTTCGATTTTGTTCTCAATGACATACATATTGAGACCACTGTCACGATCCCATAGAGCTGGAACTTGGGTCTTAAGTATCGGGGGAGCATGAATGAATAACTACCATTGCTGCTACTGAGGTTTCGTAAAGGAGGAGATGGCAGAGACCCAGAGGTGGACGTCTGAAGCTGTTTAGGAAAAGGAAAGCTTGAATGGGACAGGAGCAGAATCTGAATTAATTGCA